ACCGAATTTGCCCTAAAAGGCCATCTGAAAGTTTTACTAATTCCTTCCTGAAACTCATATTGAGTGTCATAGCTTAGCAACAATCATCATTTTATATTTAATTTATAGCTCAGCTAATGTGATGGAATGAACTCCATGCCAGAATCTCTTAATTTCTTTTCCGTTCCTTCACACAACTGGAACCAAATGCTCAGTCAAATATCTTTCTTACATAACTAACAGGAGGTGAGTGTTCTCCCGTTTCTCTTTCTCTCTCACCTTTACTCTCTGTCTTACTCTGTATTTATAGAACCAGCTTTAAATATAATTAACCAGTGTGCTGAGGGCACATCAGCAATTGTCCAGATGGCTCAAACTGACCCTGAGAATCCATTTCTCTTCACGTTTGATTTCCGAATAGCTGATATATCCCTAGCAAGAACTGACCAAGCAATTGACCTGTCCATTTGCAGGTGGTTTCCATTTACCTGCTCCCTGATAGTGAATGCTAATATGCCTTTATATTTTTCATGCCTAATGCATCTCTATATATTTTCCCCTTTTAGATTTTATTTTATGCTTAATATGTGGCTCAGTAGGAGGGAAACCTTTAATTAAAAAATTATTTGGTTATTTAAACCAGATTTTCTTTCTAGCATATGTTACAGCTTCTGAAATTAAGGTCTTAAGCTTCATGTCGAGGAGTGCCAGGTATTTATTCTAAAAGCATTTCTGAGAAAGTGAACAGTATGGCTATAAATAAATGAGGAGAAGGATGGGGGAAAGAAAGGTTTTATGTTTGATATGTTCTTCCATTTCCTCTGATCAAATTCTCTGCCAAATTTTTAAATAAAGTTATATAATACCAATTTGGTTACTGTGTAGTCAAGCACTCCTACCATCAGTGCAGATTTTGCATTTCTTTAATTCCAAAATAATGGAAAGCAAATGTTCCAGAATGATCCTAGGAACTGTAAATAAGCCAGAGATGTCAAAGTATTTGTTAGAAGTGGTGATGCAATATATGATACAGGATTCTCATCCCATTGCCTATTTTGCTCTAAAACCAACTAAATATAATAGAATGATATTGTATAGTAAGTGAAAAATATTCTTTCTAAATAAATATTCTTTCTAAGTTTGTAATTGGGTCAAATTGAGACTTAAGCAAGTGGAACACTATTAAAATTCTAACAATATTTAAGAATGTTAGAATATTTGTGTTCATATATTAGTAAACATAAAAGCAAATGCTTTAGCCCTAGCTGGTTTGGCTCAGTGGATAAAGCATTGGCCTGTGGACTAAACGGTCCCGAGTTCGATTCCAGTCAAGGGCTTGATCCCCAGTAGGGGCATGCAGGAGGCAGGCAATCAATTATTGATGTTTCTTTCTCTCTGTCCCTCTCCCTTCCTCTCTGCACTCAATAAAAAATATATTTTTAAAAATAAACAAAAGCGCCGAGACCGGTTTGGCTCAGTGGATAGAGCGTCGGCCTGCGGACTGAAAGGTCCTAGGTTCGATTCTGGTCAAGGGCATGTACCTGGGTTGCGGGCACATCCCCAGTGGGAAATGTGCAGGAGGCAGCTGATCGATGTTTCTCTCTCATCGATGTTTCTAGCTCTCTATCTCTCTCCCTTCCTCTCTGTAAAAAATCAATAAAATATATTTAAAAAAATAAAAATAAAAATAAATAAATAAATAAAAGCAAATGTTTTAGCTTTCAATGCCTATTCTGAATGTTCATGGCAATTCTACTGTACCATTTATTCTCTCATTTGTTCACCTGACATACCCACTGTGTACCAGCACTATGAATATGAATAGGGGATGGGAGTAAGGTAAAAAGTAAAGAAATGTTAAGAATATTTCAGGCAGAGAGTTGCCCCATGAATGGAGAGGTGAAACCACCTGCCATTTATGGTGATTATCTTGATTTCTCTGCAGCTTAGAAAGGAGGGTCATAACTGGCATAAATGGGAGATAGAATGTTGATGGCTTTGTGTCCAACCCTGGAAGTTGGGTTTTGTCCCTTTACCATAGGTAGAGGGAAAACTGATTCATTTTGAGCAGGTAAGTATCATATATTCCTTAGATATTCTCATTTTCCTTTGATATTCCCAATGGCAACAGTTGAGGGGTGTCATGAGCGGGTATGAAACTACAGATAATACTTATTAGGATGCCATTATTGTAGTCAAGATGAGAGATGAGAAGGGCCTTAATTAAGACTAGAAAAGTGGAAATTTAGAATGTAGTGACGATTAGACATCAGTGTCAAAAGAAAGACACAAGTTTAGGGTGACTCTGAGCATTTTGGCTTGAACAGCTTGATAAAGTGAGGAAGGCAGATGCAAAGGTGGGCTTGTGAAAGATGAAGAGGCCAGCTGTGAACATGTTGTGAAGTATATGAGACACATCTCAGTGACAGACAGCTGTGACACATAAGTCTCAAGCTCAGGAGAGAGAGGCCTGAGATGGATAAAAGAATTCATCAGATTTGGGAATCATCAAGATGGGTGACTGTTGAATCCCAAGAAGTAATGAGCTTGCTCTGAAAGAGCCTATTTGAAGAAAAAAACAAATCCCAGTATCAGAGCCCTGGAGAACACAAACAGTTAAGCCATCATTAGAAGAAGAAAAATTAGCAAAGAAGCATTTTTAAATAGGAAGGAGGACTACCAAGAGAGTTATGATTCAGAAGGGAAGGCAAGAAATAATTTCAAAATTAAATAAGATGAGGACTAAATGATAACATTGTCTTTGCCCATAATTATGTCACTGGTAAACTTCGCCAGAGCAAATTAGTATGGTGAATTGCAGAGGCTATGACCAGTAAAATTTAATATGCACCAATCTTATCAACGGATCAACTCATCAATTCTAAAAATTATACAGAAATAACTTATTCAAAAGACTAAGTTCATTTAAAAACAAAGAAGTATTTGCATATGCTAATATAAATATTGACTTAGAAATTACATTTCTAGAAGAAAACTGCTTAAAATCTGATTAAAATAATGGTATTTGGGGAATATGAAGCTTCACTTTTGTCTATTATGGAGCAACTGATACTGGGCTAGTCCTCTTGCTGTACACAACTAGAAGTGAATGTATATATGGAACATATATAAAATGATCCCTGTGATGATCCAGTCTTTCTGGCAGAGGCAGAGGCAGGAGGAGGAACCCTTGCAAAGCACAGAGATCTCACTAATCAGAGTTTGGAGAGGTTGACGTATTTGGAATAACAAAACAGAGTAAGGGAGAGAAGGGAATGAAATGAATCAGAGTTCTAGAAACCTGCACAGAACTATCCTTAAAAATTTGGTGTAATACAAAGTTGCTGATGCCTAGGGACACTTCACAAAACTAACTACCAGGGAGCGATAAATTTAACAACTATTAGCACTTGCACAGACCTGGGCTAGGTTCAAGTTCCAACCAACCAGAGTTAAGAGACTTCAATGAACACTCTGAATATTCAGTAGAGAGCAGAGAAAGGCCATGGCTTCAGAGAAGGCTAACTTAGCTGAAGAGTAGAATATGCTCTAGACCAGACTCACCTAAGCTTAAAAACCAACACTCGAAAGATCAAGCTGATTCCCTAAGTAGCTTTCTGTCCAAAACTTATTCAATGTTTTTTTAAAAGATAATAACATACAGTATCAATCATAAATATTCAAATTGTACAGTATCTAATAAAAATTTATATATGTGCAAATAAGCAGGAAAATATGACCCATAGCCATAAGAAATCAATAGAAATAGGCCCAGAATTTACGGAGGTAGTGGAATCAACAGACAAGATTTTTAACAGCTATTATAAATATATTCAAGGATTTAAAGAAAATCATTCATAAAATGAGAAGAGAAATTGAACCTATAAAAAAATGAACCAAATGGAATTTCTGGAGCTGAAAATGCAATATCTGAAATAAAAAATTTACTGGATGAGCTTAAAAGCCAATTAGATGGTACAGAAAAAAAGATCAGTGAATTTAAAAGCAGAACAATAGACTACAAAGAGAAACACACTTAGAAAACAGATTTATACCAATAAGTTTGATACTTTAGATGAAATGGGCAAATTCCTTGAAAAACACAAATTGCCAAAGCTAGCACAAGAAAATAGAAAATCCAAACAACCCTAATCTATTACAGAAACTGAATCCTTAATTTAAAATCTTAAAACAATAACAAAACAAAAACTGCAGGTCCAGATGGCTTCACAAAATTTTATGAAATGTTTAAAGAAGAAATAATCCAAATCACACACACATTCTTTAAGAAAATAGTGGAATAGGGAACACTTCTCAACAATGATATTACAGGATAATAAGATTAATTTTAACAAAGACTTATGGAAGTTTCTTATGGACAAACAAGGTTCTTAGGGATCTCTTCCGGATTCTATGGTTAGGAACAGAGCTACAGAGAACCTGAGAGTTAAACTTATCTTTAAAGAAGTTCAGTAGGAGGGGGGAGGATCATTCTAATTTGGAGAACTAACATGAAATGATATGACGCAAAGAAGCGTATGTGCATGGGACAGTGAGTACAATCAGATGACATCATCAGGCTCACTTCAGAGACTTTTAGGGCTGGGCTTTAAAACATAGATAATGTCACAACCATGGAGCAACTTCAGTTCCAAGTGAGGGAGTTTGGATTTTATTCCATAAGCAGTTGTAGAGTCAATAAATGTTTTTGAGCATGGAACTGGCACAGTCAAATAGAGATTTTGGAATCTTGATTGCATAAAAGTTCTTTGTACTTGAGGGCAGAAAGTTTAGTGACAGAGACAGGAAAATCCTGCAATTGCCTGGTATGGTTCTTTGAAAATGGAAAAAAAGACATGGCGCCCAGAGGAAGCCTCGGGGAAGATTCTAAAGACAGTAACCAAAAATCTAATCATATTTTCTAAGCATTAAGATTAAAAATATATATGCTAATGCAGACTGTAATTTCTAAGCTAAGAAAGAACATCATATGGAGTGGAATTTTACTAATAAGAGCTTACCTGCCTGGGAAGATAAATATTACTTCAATTTTTGCCATGTTGTGGGTCTGAAATGACATTTTAAAATTTTGTCAGAAGTATCTGTGCATGGAAATTATTTTAAGTAAGAACCATGAAGCTCTGTCCAACAATTTTTAACATGAAGCTAGGTTCAAGTACATTTATAATGGGAAATAACTGATTTATATGTATTGTGCATTTACTAGACTTCCAGTTGATTTTAGGAAGATGGATTTATCTGCTGAATTTGAAAATAATCAATGCTGATTAAATCAGATTTATTTGATGTCATCCAGAATTTCATTGTTTTGCTCTCAACATGAAATTTGACTAATGCATTTTTCTCTCCTCAATTTACTGAGGTGCAAGTACACATGTCTCTGAGGTAGCATCCAAGCCTTTGGGTTTCTCTGGGGAGCGTTATCAGGGGATTTAGGCAGACAAGAATTTGATACATTGTGATTCTGCAGCAGTAAACAAACTGCAGTGGAAAAAGTAGCAATTAACATTGTGAATTTAACAACATAATTGATATAAAAGAATTTTAATGGCAATCACTCTACAGAAAGACTTTCTGTTTCTCTGCTAGGCTTCTGTAAATAGAAATCAAAACAAAATGAAATTCCTTACAAAATAAATAGTTAGAAGATGAAGGATTGGTTTGCATACTTCAAGATTGTGTACATTTGGCTGAATATAGAAAATATTCACTCACCTATTTATTGATTTATTCATCAAGCATGTGCTGAGCATTGCTTTCTCTTGGGTATTGCAGTGGTTTGAGGTGGATGAGAGCCACAGCCTGCCACAAGGGGACAAGGACAAGTATGACTTCAGGAAATTACCATAGGCAATATTATAAGCAAACGCGCCCCTTAAAACATTGCCCATGCTTGAAAACACCTCTTTTCAAAAATCCTGGAAACAGAGAATGCATAAAATCTTAACATTTCTGTTTTACTGTTCACATCAAGTCTTATACACCCTATACAATAAAAAGCTAATATACAAATTGACCACATGGCAGAACAAACGGTTACTATGACACACACTGACCACCAGGGGCAGATGCTCAATGCAGTAGCTTCCCCTTGGTGGTCTGTGTGCTCCCACAAGGGGTGCACCGCTCAGCCAGAAACCGGGTTCACGGCTGGCGAGCGCAGTGGTGGTGGTGGGAGCCTCTCCCGCCTCCATGGCAGCACTAAGGATGTCCGACTGATGGCTTAGGCCTGTTCCCCACAGGCTCCTGGACTGAGAGAAGGTGCAGGTCGGGCTGAGGGACTCCCCGCTCCCCCTCGAGTGCACGAATTTCATGTACAGGGCCTCTAGTTTTAAATATTTTCCTGGCCTGTTGCAAACATCCTCTCCTTAAGAATTCATATTGCACAAAGCTAGTGAACATTTATTGTCTGGCAGACACCAAGATAAGAGCTGTTGCTCCCCTGGAAAAACTCCATTCTACTGGTATTACACCTCCTGTTTTTATTGCACTTTACAATTTGTGAAAGGGTATTTTTCTAAACCCATTTGGTCTCCACATCCTGTGAACTTAGCAAGCAGGCTTTTCTATTTTTTCTAGGTACACTGCAGCTCTAAGTTCATGTTTGTACTATTAATAAGAAGTGGTGGGATCCAGATATGCTCATTAATCATCTAACTCCTAAGTCAGTGTGTTCTTTCAATCACAGCACACAGTATGTGTATATATGTTGTGGGGAATCGGATTATATCAATACATTTCCTTTCCAGTTCTCTGTCCCACATAATTCATGGTTATGGAATGATGGGTTTAGGAAAATATTTTCTTAAGTCTCTCACTATATCAAATTACCACTCTGTAGTTAAGAGGCTCATCTGCAAGCAGTAACATAGACGTTACAGTTATATAGGGCCTGTCACTTGTTCAGTACCTTTCTTACCACATTATGCATATTAAATCAATTAAACTTCAGGACAACCATAGGAGCTAACTTTTCTTATTATCCCCTTTGTATATATGAGGAAACTCACTTTAACACTGAGAAGTTAAATAACTTGTCCAAGGTTATACAAATAAAAAGGGGCAGATTTAATCTGAGGTAATTTGGCTTCAGAGCTTGCCCTATATCATATAATGATATTTAAGATGGTAAGAGTCTCCTTAGCCAGGTACAATGTCTGATATAGACTCTACTAGTTACATTTTAAGGCAAATATTAACATATATCATTTAATACATATGACATACATTTCAAACCTGTGTCTGAAAACATCTTATCATGAATTGTTTAATTGGATTAGCTGGTTGCTAGTTGCATAGCTTAGCTATTAGATTGGGTCACAAGACAGAAACATTAAGGGAGATGAATGTAGAATGATTAAAAGCATGGAGAACCTATGCTTTTAGGGTTGTATGGGTGTTGTCGTAGAGGAGACCTTGGAAGCCAAGAAGGTGTTAATGCTTAATATGCTTAATATGAGACAGAAGAGGACATAAATGGCCCCAAGAGGAAGAATCAATGGCCAGTGAACATCCCACAAAGAGTTCTTAGTCAGGAAGGGTGGTAGATATGTCACACATGATTATACTCTCATGAGGCACTTATTCTAATATAAATGTGTGCAAGGTTCAAAGAAGGTTCAAAAGAATACTAATTGACTTTACCAGGGGTGGGGAGAGAGGTCAGAGAAAAGAAACATTTAAGAAGAGATAGCTCCTAAAGAATGGGAGGATCACCAGGCAAAAGATGAGCTATGGTAGGTGATTACTGCAATTTTGATTTCCAAAGCACTCAAAAGTACTTCCAAGGGGTAAGATGCTTGAAGTATTTTAAATATGAAATAAGACATTTTATTTTACTATCAATGAGGATATATTTTAAGACCTTATCAAAATAACAGATAACAGATTGCTATAAGTTTAAATTTATAGCAAATCAACCAGAGCCACCAAGGGACATGAGAAACAGAGTTTTCAAAACAACCATGTCAGCTGTTGTGCCCATTTACAGATGAGGACATAGATGTTTAAAGAAGTATTTGCTACTAGCTAAGTGCTAAATCTAAAATCTGAATCCAGACACTTCTGTCTGATTCCAAACTTTATGCCCTTTATAGATTATCATTTGCTCCATTCACCTGACCTTGTCACTCTAACCTCCTCAGGAAACACAGATATGAAAGGTCCACCGAGAACCTACATGAGCCTTCTGCAGCAATGCCCAGCAAACCCTTGCTCAGGGGTAGCAATGAAACCTTTGGGAAGAAAGAATCAGGGAATTACCAAAGCTCTCTTCTTGCTCCTGCACTCTCTTGATTTGGAAAGATTTGGAGCAAGGTATTCCCTTTTGTTGCTGTATGCCTTCGGCCCTGGAGATTTGATAGTGGTTGAAGGACCAGAGATGACAACTTAGTTATACATAAGGCTTTAAGGGAAAGGGAAAAAGATCTTGTGGTTTCTACATTGCCCAACTGAGTTCTTCAGGGCAGAGGAACAGAGAAGGTTTCAAAGTAAAACTCTCAGTTAGAAAAAAAAAGTCTGAATTTACGTGAATTAGCATCTAAGCAGAATTGTAGGTGGCTGGATCAAGCATAAGTCCTGTAGAGATGAGGGCTCCCTCATGTACACCATCGGAGGGAAGGACAGTTGCAGTAGCAAGATGCATTTAGCCAGTCTTCCCAATTCTTCAGAGCATCAGAAAGGGAAATAGAGTAGTGGGACGTTCAGGTCTTTGGAAAGAAGACCTACCCAACAGGAACATCAGAGGAGAGAATGATGGATGTGAACAGGAAATCTAAAGAAGTGCTAAATGTCAAGAAAGTTTGTGAGAAGAATGCCAATCCCCAGGCCAAGGGCAGATTGGTTTTGACTACCTCTTACCTAAGCTCTTACATTCTCTTCTTCAGCCTTTTCCTCTCTCTTCTTAGGATCTTCAGGATCATGATTCTACTCTGAATTTTTCAAAAGCTTCTTTCTGCTTACAGAATAATCCATGTTTCTCAGGCAGGCATTCAACAAGCATTACAATGTAGCCCAACTTGAAAGCCTCAACCACATTAAATCTGTGTATGTCTCATTCCTAAATATTATTGTCCTTTCCCACCTTCATGATTTTGCTCTCTCTATTCCCTTATTTTCCACTCTTTTGCTCTCTCTGAACCTTATACACAGTATGGAGTGTAATCAAGTTGCCCTGTGGAGCCTGCATTGAGGTTACATCTCTATGTCTTATCTCCTTTATATTTTGTAAACTTTTGAAGGTCAATAACATATCAATATAACCCATTGATCCAAGCCATAATTCCTTGTGCATAATAGACAATCAATATAAAACTGATAAATGAAGATAATAAAAAGAAATAATGATCATATTAATTAAAGAGATCATTTGCCAGTATCTAGTTCAACACCTTCATTTTAGAGATGAAGAAACTAAATCTAAAGAAGTTAATAATCTTTATCTCCATAACAGCTAGTTGAACCAGAGCCAGGACTAATAGCTAACACCATTTGACTACCTAACCTATACTAGGCACACCTGTAAGACTTACTTCAAGTTTTTCTTAACTGTTTAACAATCCTATGAAGTTCTTAATAGCTGATTTAATAGAAAAAACAGTCACAAAGGTTAATTCATACCAAGTCACATAGCTTTGTAAATAGCAGAATGAAGATTTGTCTAGACACAGACTGATTCCAGAGAACCTATGCTTCACCAAGACTTTATTCAATCGGGCCTTCTGTTAATCTTGTCCTCATTCCACCATGCCTTTCTATCTCCATTTGTTAGTTAAATAGGGCATAAAAATATTGGCTAATTCAGATTCTTGCTATAAAATGAAGGCTTGGAATGATCACACACATGTACTCACTGATATCACTAACAAACTTAATAAAGAAAACGAGGTTAATTCAATCACAACAAGGGATGTGATTCTTATTGAGAAATGAGGTCAGAAACCTACTTAACAAACTTAAGTCTTATAGTGTCTACTATTAAGTCTTCCTTACAGGAGATAATCAACAGACAAATCCTCTGTCAAGACATAATCTTGGATATTCAGAATCCACAATCCCTTAAATTGTAATTGCTATCTACCTGAAAGGAATATATGTGTGTATATACATATATGTATATATATATATATATATACATACACATACATACACACACACACTATATTGGTAGTACTCATGGTAATTTGGGGGATTACATACACACACACACACATACACTATATTGGTAGTACTCATGGTAATTTGGGGGATTATGTTCTTCTTTTTGATGTTCGCAATGATGGTAGTAACAATATCTCAATTCCAATTTTTTTCTATGTATGAGTAACCTAATTTTCTAGAGGTTCAGAAATTAAAGCTTGTCTCCAGAAAGCCAATTTTGAACTGTTTTATGCTTAGTTTTCTTTGCTAATTAGATTCCATTTTAAAATTTATAACAGTGTTCCTTTTTCTCATTCACTGTATTTCTGTGAGCTATTTCTAGAATCGAATTTTGAAATTTTCTCAAGGAAATATAAGCCTTGCCTTTCTGTTAATTATAAGAACAACTGTGACCACAAGATAATTATGGAAAAGCAATTAAGGAGTGTTTTGATATTCTCCAAAGTTGTACATTTGTATTTAAAATTCACAAGTCTTGAAGGTTACCCTCTCCGGACCCCCTCTCACTGGGAGCACTCTCTTCACAACATATGTTTTGGATGTCAGCCTCTGCTTGACCAGTGCAACCCAAGAGATGTCCAAAAATGGAAAAACTTGCTCATGTTTCTCCACCGCTTACAGCCCTCTGTGTTTTCTCATCATCT